ATATATATATATATAAACACATGGTTTTAATTTATCTGCTTTACTCCTAAGTCAGCTACAACAGGCATAAAGCATACAGCTGTGTTTTTCATGAAGGGATTCAATGTTAAACTGTTGTTTTAAATACAGATGCTATGTACCAGATACTAATATGTGATCACTTGATTTCTAAGCAAGTATATTCATCATCCTTCAAGGTTACCATGACCCTAAACTCTTATCGCTTGCCTCATTTCTCTTGTTTGTTCAAGTCACACGCTCATCCATATATGTGCAGTTGAGCAAACTGCACATATAGGATGGTGCAGTTTGCTCAACATCAGGTCTTAGTTTTCATTCCTTATTTGTAGGAATAAAACAACTTTTGTAACACTTTTTTCCACATTGGTAACATTTGGTATCTATCATTTCATAAAAACCATCAAACAACAAGAGATAAAGCAAGAACAAATTGTGTGCACCTCTCCCAAGTTATTAAGTAGGGGAAGGGGAAATGGAAACTTAAACAGACAACTGTAAAACTAAAGCCAACAGAATAGCAGGCATATTTTCAGAGACTGCTAAATATATATGTGCTTCTGCTTTTTGGAGTCTTGCTAATTTATGTAATAACAAGACTTAAAAACATCTATGCCTGGATAAGATGCACGAGCTACAAATTAGAAAACTGTCAATTTTATTCCAACCACAATTGATGTATATGTAGCTGATCATTAATAGAGTAATAAAGTAAAGTAATGCATTAACGAAATGTCTTGCTTCAACCTTGACCATTTAATCTACAGATTAGATTAAATGTACTTTAAATTACATCTAATAATTTGTCTTAGCTGGACTACAAAGTAATGGATCCGGTTCTGCATGGTAGACTCAGCTGTTGAGTGGAAGGATTTGAAATCAGCCATCTATCTTCCTGTCAGCATGGCAAAGTGATGGTTGTTAATTTGACAAAATTGCTACAGATTAAATAACCGTCATAAAAAAGCAATTGTGTGCACAAAGACAGTACAAATGCGCACCATTTTTAAGTTTAAGTTGTCTGAGATGAGTCCTCAAAAAACTCTTTCTGGCAGCTCTTGACTACTAATTATCCCTTTAGGAGTTTTTTTCAAAATGGTGTCTTCTGCTTTCAAAAAACCACAGGCAGAAAGTTAAAAAAAGGCCATAACTTGAAACAAAGCTTCCTTTTTCCTCCCATTGTTTGAACCCGTTCATGTTGACATGATGGAATACCACCTTATAAACAGAGCCATAGTCACAAATTATACATTTTTCTTAAGACATATCTTTTACCCCATACAGTCGGTGAAGTCTAAAATGAGGATACCAAATTCACCTCCAGCTCAGCAAATGTGGACATTCAAGTTGAGTACAGTGTTCGTATAATGAGTTTTTCAATCCAAATACATTTTAATCTTTTGTTCCTTGCTAATTATGAGGAGTAGTAACAAAAAAACCAAAGCAATACTTAATTATTATCCCATTTCTGATAATGTCAACGTTAAGGACAAATGAGCCAACATTTGTAAGTGAGGAAACGTCGGTGAATGAGTCATAGTAGTATCAAAAGAAAACTAACATTTGTGGGAACAAAACTGGGAAGCAAAATCCCAAAGTCGTTAAACAACTGTAGTTTTTTTTAAATGTATTTATTTGCTCATTTATTCTTTTTAGTCTCTTATCTATGAGTCACGAATATCAAAATGTGTTGAAACCTAATGTTTTTTCTTTTTTTTATGAAACTGTCTTGCCGTTAAAGTAGCGGGACTGCACGCGTCTGAAAGCGCTCGAGAGTTTCAATTACATTTGTATATTTAGCACATTGGAGCAGACACGTGCACCTATTTTAGAGACGCAGAGGATTGTGTGTCGAGGCTTTATTGAAGTAAAAAGACATTCGAAGTAGTCAAGTTCCTAAATGAACTGGAAAAAATAAAGTTTCAGGCAGTTGAAAAATTGGTCAAATGCCATTTCCCCGTTATGGCTTAATATACGATGCGCAAACTCAGCCCGCTCTCCCAGCTCCCTCGATGATAAATGAGCCTTATTTATTTGAGGAAAAAAGTTTCAAAGTTTTTTTTTTTACCTGTTAATGCAGATCGTCGCTCTCCTCTCTTACTTGAGTCAAATCAGTCATAGCAATCGTTTACCAAGGCAGCCTTGCCATATTCTGGAGACGCGGGGCGGTGCCTGAGCTCCGTCTATTTGTCTGTCCCCCTATATCGGCTGTCAAACAGGAGCAGGATAAAATTAAACAGATGCATTCTGTTCCACTTATTTTTGCTAGAGCACTGTTTAAAATGATCTATTTAAAAAAGTTGTATTTGGATTCATACAAAAATCAAATTAATTTAGCTCAAAATATTGGACAATCATCAGTTTAATTTCCGTAATTTAATTCATGTCATCACATTTAGATTTATTACAGTCATGTCAGGCATAACATGCAGCTAATTAAAACACACATTTTTTCTTTCTTGGAAAATCTGAGTATTACATGAAACTGATTAAAATATATATATATTCAATATATAAATGTTACCTTTTGTCCATATTATGATCTGAATAATCTTTACAAAGACTGCTGGGCAAGTCGAGTCACTGTTAAAGAAGTAGGCTGTTCACAATGCTCAATGCAAGCATATTAATAGAAAGTTAGGTGGAAGGAAAAACTCTTGGAGCAAATGAAACAAGGATAATCACAACCTTGACAGAATTGTGAAGCAAAGACTATTAGAGAGTTTGGCGATACTCCAGAAGGTGTGAACCGTGGCTGCTTCAAAAACCATCACACACAGATGTGTCCAGGACGTGTGCTACAACCATCGTGTTGATGTTTTAGGTCACACCTGACCTGGACTAAATTCAAAATGTACAAAAGAGTTGTCCAACATTATATTAAAAGATGATGTTTTCTTTTTGTTTTGTTTTTTTCATCTAATTTGGTTATTATGGTGTCAGAGTCTGTAGAAATGGTGCAGATGCACAGACCGCAAGACGGTTGATGTTCAGTTTGACATTTCCACAGTTCCTCAAACCATTAATGATTAGAGGAACAACGTCTGCTGTTGTTGCCACACTTTATTGAGCCCAAAGTCATGGCAGCCATCTATCAGGAAATGCATGTGTAGATACAGAGGTAGTTATTTGATATTCCAGCAGTACTTTGCATTTGCCATAAAAACCAGTATCGGATGACACAGTGCTGGATTCACAACACCCGGCTCAAACCATTTAGTGAGTGTTGTCAAGAGGAAGGTGAACACGACAGCCGGTATTGCAGGTGAGCTGAAGTCAGACATTTAGAACATCAGGGCTTATTGTACACCGCAGAAGAGCCATCATCTCTAAGTCAAACTGCATTGATATGGTGATTTACACAACAGCACATGGACGTACTTCTCAATATGCACACAATTCTGTTTTAAAATTCAGTT